TCGTGGTTTCCCATTGGGTAATCCGACGGCACCGAAAAACGGTTACCATGAATTTCCGAAATCCTCAGGCCTGCTACTGAATTATTTAAATTTTTGCAGCATTTGTTTATAATTGTATGTATATGTTGTTGTTTGTGTCATTATCATATGCAATTGAATAAGTAGACCGTTTCAGAATTCGAAATTTGGGACTCTCTCAATGCATAATGGGACTCATACTTTTCTGACCAGCGAGTCCCTGGGACTTGCTGCTGGTAAACTGTAAAATTATCACTGAGAGATTACCGCTTTTTCTGCAGTCAGTGATTGACTTCTATGCAAAGTCATTTCTCAACTTGTCTTCCATGCCATGTCATGCCTGTTGAGTGTTGATTTACTTCATATTAAGAAACTACTGCACTGAAACATTAATTCATAAATATATATCATATGCTTTTATTTTTTTTTCTCAGTATAAATAACACGTACCCTGACTGTTCTACTCTTTGAATAAAAACACTTCATTGAAGCGTTAGGGGGTGACGTGCAAGGGGTTATGATGGAGGGGTGTTGCAAATCATGAAGACCTGCCAAGTGGTATGATAGCATTGTTTTATACTTGTCTTGCCTCAGCTTCAAAATCAGTCCTTGGTCCTTGGCCTTGGCCTCGGAGGCAAGTCCTTGGTCCTTGGCCTTGGCCTCGGAAAATTTCTTAAGTCCTTGCCCTTGGCCTTGCCTCGGAAAATTTTTCAAGTCCTTGGCCTTGGCCTTGGCCTCGGGTTGCTGGTCCCTGAACACAACACTGTCTTTTAGCTATTTCTAAAAGCACCCCATACCATCAGAATTAATTAATTATCTTAAAATTGACTCTAAAATGTACAGGGAGCCAGTGAAGGGAGGCCAGAATTGAGGTGATGTAACTTCCATTAGAAGGGGAGCACCAGCATTTTGGACCAAGTGGAGACGCTTCAGGGATACTGGCTGGCTCCAAAATAAAGTGCATTACAGTAATCCATCTGAGATGTCATGAAAGCATGAATTACTGCAGGGATTTTCAATCCTGTTCCTCAAGTGCCACTGTCCTGCCTGTTTTCCTTCTCTCCCTGCTGCAACACATCTGATTCACATGATCCAATAATCAGCAAGGTCTGCAGAAGCTGGATAACTATCCTGATCATTTGATCATCGTCCTCCAGGAACAGGCCTGAAGACCCCAGGATTACTCTTTCTAAATGCTGTTGAGAAAAGAGAGGCTTTACTTTACTAAGCTGCCTATGATGAAAGAAGCAGGATTTAACAACAGCACTGATTTGCCAGTCCATTTCAAAATTACTGTCCAATCCAGGGGTGGGCAATCCGAGTCCTGGAGGGCCGCTATCCTGCATGTTTTCCATCTGTCCCTTCTCCAACACACCTGATTCAAATGATCAGATCATCATCAGCAAGCTTTGTCGAGGCCTGAACAATTGAATCAGGTGTGTTGCAACAGGGACGGATGGAAAACATGCAGGATAGCGGCCCTCCAGGACTGGGATTGCCCACCCCTGGTCCAATCTAAAACCCAAGTTTGAGACTGTAGGCTTAAAATCAGACACCAGGGGGCCCCGGTCAACAAGGTGAGATGTACAGGGGCTACTGGAACCAAATACCATAACTTAAGTTTTCTTTTCATTGACATTGAAGAAATTCAGTACCAATCCCGGCTTTGATTTCTTCGAGACTGAACAAAAGTAATCGTAAGGAGAATGCATCATTTTTTTGCTGAGCGGGATGGAGATCTGACTGTCATCCACATAGCAGTGGAAGGAAATCCCATGTTTCGTTGTTTAATGAAAGAACTCAGGCAGCTAAACGGGAATGCTGCAAAGCTCAACACTGGTCTCTTTTCAAATTACCAAAGCGAAGTGTCATGATTCGGTTTGGGACCAACAGGTGGCACTGTAGGGCTTCCCCTGCAGCTGCACACCTGTTGGTCATTTGTTAATTAGTGCTTTAAAAGGACTCCCAGCCCGACCACTCATTGTCGGGTCATTGTTGCTGTTTGCTACTGTCATGTTTGTTTGTTGCCGTTTGTCTGCTGCTGTCAGGTTTGTCATGTTTTGGTCAGTGTTATGTTTTATCTTCAGTTATGTGTTTTGTTTGATACTTTGGACTTTGTTTGTTTTGGATTTAGTTTTCTCTGAGTTTTAA